ATCCCGAGACATGTCTGTGATCAAGGGGCGGTTGAGGCAGAAGCGGAGAAGACGCTCAGGAAACGTGGAGGCCACCTTGCTTTGCCCAAGATGGCGGATGACACAGGCGGCGCGCCGCCTTTGTCCTCTTCTTATATAGGCCGGCTGCTATGGCCCCGCCTACTTCCCGATTGGTAGTTCCAATAGCCAATTGCAAGTACGGTACTTGATGACTCTAAGTTACGAAGCGTTAATCTTTCCTATTGGCTCCCGGATGAGAGGCGGGAGGCATGGAGTAGTTGAAGTTTCCAGTTGGCCAATGAGCGGAAAAGGAGTTGGCTATAGGCCACTGTGATTTGCTGGGAGCTATTTGAATGGGTTAGCCGTGAGCAATTTTCCGGTGAAAGCAGAGAACCAGGACCCTATCAGCTCCTGGGGAGAGATGTTGGAGGGCCCTTTTCTTTCTTGATGTGTCGCTAGGAGCAGCCTGTTGGAATCTTTCCCTAGAAAGAACATTCTCCGGTTAAGTGCATACTATCTATTATACCTTGTGCTGGGCCAATGAAATTAGAGAAATGAAATCTTACCTATTTCACACACACAATCTTACTGATTTTATTTTGAAACCTCATTGCAGTACTGGTTTGTTCTAGCAGTATAAATGTCGCAGTAGGCTTAAGCGATTGCCCTCTGTTCAAAAAGAAAGGCCTTGATTGTGTGTGTGTATACACACTAATAATTTACCTACACAAATCACAGGAGGAATATAGCATTTTTTCTTAATTCTACTACCATAAAACACTTTATGAACAGATTAGGATACTTTAAAATTACAATATTAAAATATCGATATGGAATCAACCAATGGGCAGCATCCTTTTTACTTCAAAATCTCCAACTACTTTGAAGTGAACGAGCCATTTCCCTTAATACCTCTCCTAGTTACTGTCATCTGTGGACCTTTGGGTGGATCGTTCCTCCCTCAATTAATATTAGCTCATGACTCACTGTCTTCCTTTCTACTTCTGTTCATCATTCAGCATCTATGTGGATGACCACCCAATACACTGTCAATTCTTTGCTTCATCACCTCCAACAATCTTTCCTTCCATCCTGTATCAGCCACCTTGCCCACATCATAGTTATTCCTGTTTGTTATTGCTAGTAACCACAACATCCCTAAAATCTCTATTTCAAGCATTCCAACTGTCTGACCTGGTAATTCTGACTCTTTGACTTCATCAAAACCTCCAAACCATTACATATATTATTTTTTAACCATCTCTCACATTCCTATATTCACAACTTGTGTCACCCAGTTTAATGATACGGTTGCCACAACTCTTGTTTTTCTCTTTCTCCATTATACTTACCTGGTAAAACTCCAATTCTGGTTGGACCCAACAATTCACCTTATTTAACAAGGGCTTAGGCTTTCACTTTAAATTTTGGCCATGAGCCTCAAAAGGGCACTAGGCTTTCCTGGCAATCTTACTGAATTTCCCTAGTTAAGTTTACTTTCTCAGTTCCAGAGATAGTGTATTTCATGCATTCTCTGTTCAAACTCCCACACCTTCTCTCACTCCACCATAATGACTTCTCCTTATATTCCTTGGAGAAAATAAGAATCATCAGAGGGAACATTCTCATCCAACTAGAAGCCAGAAGCCTATATACATCTGCACCCATCGTCTCTGTCTTCTCAATACCATGAAAGATGTGTCTATGTCCCTACCAAAGGGCAAACCCCCCTAGTGCTATGGATCTCACTCACCCTCTTCCATGCTTTCTGAAGGATTTCTCCTTGATGTATCAGTAGTTACTTCTACTAGATCATTTCCATCTTAAAAAGAACTAAACCTTCCCTTTAGGCTATCATCTCATTTCTTTGTTCCTCTTTACAACAATACTAAATCAAATTGTCTACACCAGAGGTCTACATTTCTTCACCTGTTTTCTCTTCAATTCACTTCAATCTGTCCACCCTTCTCTTAAATTTGCCAGAGATACCAATGATCTACATGTTGCCAAATCCAATTAACAATTCTCTATACTATCTCTTTTACCTGTTAGCAACATTCAGCATAGATGGCACTGTATTTCATGAAACATTTTTCTCACTGCCTTCTGTGACACCACATTCTCATGATTTTCCTCTTGCTTAGTGACCTGTCTCCTTTGCTGATGCCTCCCTCTTAGGACTTCTAAATGATGAGATATTTCAGGGCTCATTTCTGGGCCCTCTTTAACAACTAGGCTTTCTTCTTATCTAGATAGTCTCTTCAAGACTTAAAACACCATCTAAATGTTAATAATCTCCAAATTTATATTTCCAAGGTAGGCTAGATCTCCCCTCTGAGTTTCCAACTTATGTAGCCAACTACTTATTAGACATCTCCATTTGGAGGTCTAACTGGCTTTGCAGATTTAGTATGCCCAAACTGGACGCTCTTGATTTTATCAATCTAACCTGTTCCTTCCAGTCTTCCCCAACATAGCAAATAGCATCACCTAGTTAATAACAAGGATTTTTCCTCTGCATAAAATCCAAGTCAGTTCTACTTCCACAATATATCTCAAGTCCATTTACTGCCCTCCGTCTCTACCACTGCAACCTAATCTTTTGCACCTCCGTCTCTCACGTAAATTACTGCAAAAAAATTTTCCCATTTAAAAAAATTGAAGTATAGTTGATTTACATGCTGTATTATTCTTATTAAAACATTATATATATATTCTTTTTCATTACAGGTTACTACAAGCCTTGGAATATAGTTTCCTGTGCTGTGCAGTAGGACCTCGTTATTTTTCTATGCCGTACATAGTAGTTTGCATCTGCCAATCCCAAACTCCCAATTTGTCCCTCTCTGCCTGCAACCACTTTTTAACTTGTCTACGTGCTCTTTCTGGGTCCTCTGTAATCCATTTTCCATATGGCAGCTAGAGTGACCTTTTAGGAAAGTAATTCAGATGTCATTTTCTTACCCCTATTTAGAGGCCCTCAGTGGTTTCTCATTGCTCTCAGAATAAAATGCAAACACCATACCAAGATTAAAAAGGCCAAATTTGATCCAACCCCTGTCTGCTTCCCCAGTCTTCTCTCTCTAGTTCTCAAACCCAATCCACAGGAAGCCCCTATCTGTTCTTAGGATTTATCAGGTTATTTGTCTGCATGCCTCTTGCCTCAAGGTATTTGGACTTACTGTTTACTCACCCTGAAGTGCTCTTCCCCCAACTTTCTGCAGTTATGGCTTCTTCATTCTTCTTTCTCTACTTGAATGTCACCTCAAAAAAGTCCTCCCTGCCAATCACATCTATAGTAAACCTCCCCTCTCTGTTACACCATCCTTTATGTGATGGCATGTATATGATAGTTGTTTTCACACTTGTTTTTATCTCGTTTCTTCACTTGTTTGTTATCTGTCTCCTCTGTTAGACTGGGATTCTAAGTTCTTTAAGGTTATAATTGTTGGTATCTAACACAGACACCATCACAGAGATGCTTACTAAGTGTGTTGAATGAATGACTAGAAGCGTAACAATGAAGAACAGGCTCTGGTTCCATCTTCAGGTCCTTGTCCCAAAATCCTTCACTTTTCTGACACACTCTTTTGTGAAGTTGTGAGGATTATGTGAAGTGTTTAGTACTTTCTAGGTGCTCAATAAATCCTATCTATTGCTATGAAAAAAATCAGAGATTCCTGAATGTTACAGCCCAGAAGACAAATTGAGTTCAGTAATTAAAGTC